ATTTATCAATCATTCAATATTTTAGCATTAGCTGACGATTGGCCTTTACATAAAAATTACAAGCATGATTTCATTAGCTGCGCAATTACGTGAGTTTAAAAAATAAAATATAAAAAACAATGAAGGAGGAGAACGAGAGAAAAACGATATCTTACATATTTTTAACAGAAACACAAGTAACTAAACTAATGAAAATAGAGTATGAGACTCTAAAACTTACGTGTCCTGAAACTGAATGAATCCGTATCCAAAAGGAACTGATTTTTGACTCAATGCCTCAGCGATTTCGCTGGGAAGCTGAAATTCCTCAAGTTGATCTTTTCGCTTCCATGCCGTAAACCATCTAAGCTCTCTATAGTTGCCATCATTTGCGAGGCACATCTTTGGTCGTATCAGAACAATCTTCCGATTCAAACATAAAACTTGACAATTGTACCGCTCCGACCCTTTGATGATTGGCATACCAATGCTACACAATATGCCATCTGTCCAATCACCGAGCAAGATGTCTTTTAAGCATTCCCATCTGCAATCAAATCAAATTCACTGCGAGTATTAATAAAGGCAGGCTTACAATTTTCCTCGGGATGAGAACTTGAGATTTTCTTGTATAATCCTTGAGGAATAAGGATAGGAACCGGTGGAATTTCAGCCATTACAGTTCAGTCAAACAGAACTCCTACCAGACTAACAGAAGAAAAAAATATACGCAATGACTTCAAATTTTCAATAATTTTGAAGCAAATTTCAACAAAGAAATCACTCACGCATGAGCAACAGTGTCGAGCTCCAAGAAATGGTCTTCGCAGCCATAACCAGTAATCTCGAGCTCAGGTCCGAGTCTAACGACAGCGCCGGCTTGTTTAGCCTTGGCTATGGACTCTTTAATGTGCTTAGTATTACAATCGAAGTCCATAGCCCATTGGTTGAGATTGCAAGTTGCCACTTTCAACAGCCTCATCCTCGATGGAAACGATATGTCTGAATTTGCAAAAGATATGGTTTTCTCAAAAGAGTCGGCCACCGCGCAAGCAAGACAGATAAATGTTGCAGTGTAAAGGATTAGTTTGGATTCCTCATATATGGATTTCTTCCTTTTGCTTTCATTCCACAAAGTCCCGATGGAACCAAATGCTTTTTGAAAGTCTGGACCCTTGGACGGGCTTTGATTCTTGTCGTTCCCCACGCGCCATTAGACTTTGACACTGCTGACCTTTCCCTTGACACGTGTCCGATGCGGGATCTCGTTAATATCATATGAAGAGTATCAGTAATGCCGAATAGAGAGTGGAGAGGAGCAGCGGCCAAAGCTTGAATGGAGATGGAGAGTAGCAGTCGCCGGACGGCTGGAGCACGAAGAACGAGTGCAGGGAGCGATTACAATTTACAGCAAAATGAAAAAGTGAAGCCTGAATGCGTGGAGAGTCGGTTCGTAAATTAGTTTTTTGTTTGATTAAAGATATTAAGAAAACATAATTTTAAGTCATGTTGTCACGGATGATATTTCCGTGACCGTGTAAAGACCAGGATAATGATCGGTCCGCTGGTTAGCCTCGCACAATATGGGTAAAGGGGGCGACATTAGCATTGGGGGTGTTCTGCCTCAGTCTTCGGACTGTGTGCACAACTGGTCGGGGGCTAGTGCCGCCTCCCTGATGAGCCCATGGCAGGGCGAAACCAGTGTGATCCGTACGTGGTAAGGCTTGTCCTGAGGATTATGGGGTCCTCCAGGACGCCGCACGGGCGCTGTGTGCTGCGCCAGACTCTCAGCCCGTGATAGAGTGGTATCAGAGCCAGGTTGTACTTTACTGTCGTGTGCGCGTGGGGTCCCACGTTGGGACTGGTCGGCCTCGGCACCGCTCCAGAAAGGCCTCCGAGCAGGTGGGTCCAAAAGTGGGGACTCGGGCGGGAAGGTTAGCCGTTATCGACTCCACTCCTGTTGGCTCGCGGGTGCGAGTGGGTCTGAAGAGTGCAGGACTCGGGTGGCCACTCAGCAAGTAAGCTGGTGTGTTTGTGGCAGTACTGTACGTACGATCCTTGGGCGGAGTCGTTCTCCCCTAGCACGAGGGCGTGCTAGATTGGGTGTGCGAGAATGTCACGGATGATATTTCCGTGACCGTGTAAAGACCAAGATAATGATCGGTCCGCTGGTTAGCCTCGCACAATATGGGTAAAGGGGGCGACATTAGCATTGGGGGTGTTCTGCCTCAGTCTTCGGACTGTGTGCACAACTGGTCGGGGGCTAGTGCCGCCTCCCTGATGAGCCCATGGCAGGGCGAAACCAGTGTGATCCGTACGTGGTAAGGCTTGTCCTGAGGATTATGGGGTCCTCCAGGACGCCGCACGGGCGCTGTGTGCTGCGCCAGACTCTCAGCCCGTGATAGAGTGGTATCAGAGCCAGGTTGTACTTTACTGTCGTGTGCGCGTGGGGTCCCACGTTGGGACTGGTCGGCCTCGGCACCGCTCCAGAAAGGCCTCCGAGCAGGTGGGTCCAAAAGTGGGGACTCGGGCGGGAAGGTTGGCCGTTATCGACTCCACTCCTGTTGGCTCGCGGGTGTGAGTGGGTCTGAAGAGTGCAGGACTCGGGTGGCCACTCAGCAAGTAAGCTGGTGTGTTTGTGGCAGTACTGTACGTACGATCCTTGGGCGGAGTCGTTCTCCCCTAGCACGAGGGCGTGCTAGATTGGGTGTGCGAGAATGTCACGGATGATATTTCCGTGACCGTGTAAAGACCAAGATAATGATCGGTCCGCTGGTTAGCCTCGCACAATATGGGTAAAGGGGGCGACATTAGCATTGGGGGTGTTCTGCCTCAGTCTTCGGACTGTGTGCACAACTGGTCGGGGGCTAGTGCCGCCTCCCTGATGAGCCCATGGCAGGGCGAAACCAGTGTGATCCGTACGTGGTAAGGCTTGTCCTGAGGATTATGGGGTCCTCCAGGACGCCGCACGGGCGCTGTGTGCTGCGCCAGACTCTCAGCCCGTGACAATGTGCTTTGTTTCGCGTGTTATTGTTGATTCTTGTAACTTTTTTTTCGTACTTTTTATATTTATTTTTTTATTTTATATTTTTTCAAATTTTTATATTTTATTTATAAAAAATTTAAAACAATTAAAAATAAATATATTAAAATTAAAAATATAAAATGCGGGTAAATATATAGATATAAATTTATGTTTTTTCAAAACTATAAGTATTTAATATTATAAATTTCAGTTTGGAAATTCTTAATATATTAAAAAATATATTATCTCTGATAAAAAATATAAAATATTTTTAAGTGAATTTCTTTTTTTAATAAAATAATTATTTATTTTTAAATTAATTTTATTTTTTTATATTTATTTTTATTAAATAATTTATAATAAATGTAAAATAATTATTAATAAATACCTTTTTAAAAAAGTTAATGATTACATCTTAGATTAAAAATATTTTATATTTTTAAATATTTAATTTTTTAAAAAATATTTTATATTTTTAAATGAAAGTAAGTATTTAATCTTACAAATCTCAGTTTAGAAATTATTAATATATTAATTAACTTCATATACATTTTAAAAAAGAATGTTAACCCCCGGACCGGAGTTGACCGAACCATCTACGAGAATTAACCAAGACGGGACGTGCTGGGTGGTGTGGATTTCGGATTTTTTGCACTGCGCTGGTAATATGCCGTGTAGAATTAAGCTTTTGAGATTAAGAATCATATTTTCTTTTCGGACAAAAGAAAAGGAATAATATATTTTTATGAAATTAATCTAAATATTAATATTGACATTTATAACAACTTAATTGATTATTATAATGTGAAATAAAATATTTAGATTAATATATTTTGATATTATTGATATAACATGTAATAATTAAAATCATTCAAAACAAATTAATTTTTTTAATCAATCATGTAATACCCCGGACCAATTTAAAAGCGATAATTAGACTTGACTTTCAAATGACATAATCACAAATAAGAGATCCCCAAGCACAGAATGACAGGAACAGCACTAGAGATATTTTTTTTTTATAAGACACTGGAGATAATTCTAGTATTCTACTTTTATATATAACTAGTGTTCACTCTCTGGTTAGTTACACTGGAACAACACCAGAGGTAATTCTACTTTTATATACACTATACTATAATACAATGATGATTTAAATTTAGGACATCGTGATATATTATTTAATAATTTCTAATTTTATGTATATTTATGTTTTTGAAATATTTTTAAAAAATTTGCTTTTTATTTAGATTTTGACTCTTTCTAAAATACGAAACAAACACGTTTTTTAGTTTTTTACCATCAAAACAAACGTTGAAACACTTTTCAAAAATATTTTCTCGTGAGAAATAGTAGTCAAAATTCAAACTATACTTTAGTGGGTGTATGGCTCGAGGCTGTGAATTTGACCCCCGAAACCGGCTTAACCCTCTTTCTAAAAAATATATATATTTTTATAATAAAAAATTAGGTAAATTGGGTTTGAAAACTAACCAGAACAGAATATTTAAATTAAAATCGTTGTTGAATATTTGATGGGAAAAATTGCCACGATTCTTTTTTCCCTTTCACAGCGGAAAAATTCTCAAGGATACATAAGAAAGTGTGAAAAATGCTTTTTTTATTACAAGGGAAGACTCATGCATTTTCTTGGCACAACTCATTACTTTTCTCTTATTGTCTTTTATTAATATTAATTTTTATCCCAGAAAGTGAATATGAATTCAAATACAATTCCTTAAAAATTACAACATTTCTTCTAAAAAAATTAATTAATTAAATTTAATTAATATGACCCAAGCCCAGCATCGCAAAGTAACAGACCAACTCCAAAACTCAATCAAAGCAATCTCATCTTCAACTGAATAGGCCCATAGATCCATCACACGCTCTTCTCGGAGAAGCCCAAAGCTGGGAGAGAAACCGGCTAGAAAAAAACCCACTCAGGCCGGGAGGCGGCGGGTCCGACCCGTGTATTACCTCAAAAGCCATTTGAGGTGCAGAGCGTGAGCGAGACGCCCTCGAACGCCTAAGATGACAGAAGTGGCGAGCTCAGTGGTGCACGAGGTGCTGGGACGACGGGTTGAGGATGTGGATCAACCTATTATTGATTATATTATCAACGTCCTCGCAGATGATGACTTTGATTTTGGAGATGATGGAGAAGGCGTCTTCGATTTTCTCGGGGAGCTACTCGTTGGTGCCGGCTGCGTCGACGACTTCTCTGAGTGTCGCAATGTAATTTGTGCATTCTAGCTATTCCATTATAAATCGCAGCATAATTGATCATCTTGAAAGCTTCGAGCTGGGGCAGTGATCTAATTGACTACTATAGAGAAATTTAAAGCGTTTTGGTTTATCTGCTTCATCTTTAAAGCTGCATTGCACTAGCCCTATTCACCCCCCCTTTCCTGCCCGTCTCCCGGTTTCTAAGTTCCCTATAAATTGCTGACTTGCTCTAGGTATGTAGCAAATTGTCTGAAAAATTTGGAAAGCATGGGGTGGTCAAAACCAAACCAACCGTGCGAAGCCTTGCAGCACCCTTCAGAATGAATGACGGAATGGATGATGGGGTAGCTCCTAAGAAGAAGCGTGAGCCTACTGATGGTCCTTTGCTAACCGAACGTGACCGTGTAAAGTTAGAAAGAAGAAAGAGGAAGGAGGAGCGCCAAAGGGAGGTAAAATTTTAAATTAGAACTTGGCCCATTAGCATTGTTTGGTATAATCATAGACAATTAGAGGGACAGATTTTGACTGAAATTGAACTGGATCACTTTAAACTGATGCTATAGATTACCGCTACTGTTGACTAATCCTGTTGTTGTTTATAATGCCATTTACTTCCGCAGGCACAGTACCAAATGCATCTAGCGGAAATGGAGGCAGCCCGAGAAGGGATGCCTGTTGTATGTGTTAGGCATGATAATAGTGGTGGAGCAGCTGTCAAGGACATTCACATGGAGAACTTCAATATTTCTGTTGGAGGCCGTGATCTCATTGAGGATGGTTCAATCACACTGTCATTTGGAAGGCATTATGGTAAATTTTTCCTAATCTTCCTTACGTCAATTATTGCTGTACCAAGAACAACAAAAATTAGATATACCATACAGTCTGCATGAAATGTTTAAATATCCGGTTTCTGCTCTGAGTCTTATTTTCACCTTGATATCTACAGTTGCTTATGTATGTAAGGTTTTCCTTTTTCTTCTCACTGTTGACATAATTATGCAGATTAATTTCATTACTTAGCCCTTGGTGAGGTGACAAAGTCTTAGCAGCTACAACTTTTAATGTTATTTATCTAATGTTTGAGAATTTAAATATCTTCTTAAAACCAGTGTGTTCAATTGTACTTTTTATTTAATTGTAGCATGTGGAAGTCTGTAAAATAATATAATCAACTGGGCAAGGTTATGTTTTATCTACAGCGATTTTCAAACTAAATTGGATCGAAGCAAATATAGAAATTTTCTTGGGACTGTCAATAATAATACAGAAAGTTATTTGGGTTTAAATCACAATAGTTCATGTGTTTCAATTTATTTATATTAAGAGATACATTCTTTATATCTTTTAAGCATTAATAGGCATTTAAAATTTGAACGTATGAAGCATTGACATTTTGAGAAAGAAACTTTGTTTGTATCGTGCGTTCACAGAACTTCCATAGTTACTTTAGGTGTTTATACTGTATTGCCACGTTCATATCCATGTAAATTGTCTATGCTTCTTAGCTACCTATCATCTCTGCCAAAGCCAGAATTGGAAGAATTTGTTATTATTTGGCTGTAATATCATTCCCAAGTCACAACTAACTTGATCTATGCTAATTGCCGAATGCCTAACTACTTTTCACTGTTATGAGATTGAGTTACTGTGAAGACTTTCCTCTGCTTATTTTATATGCTGCTCAAATATGCAGGCCTTATTGGAAGAAATGGTACTGGGAAAACAACATTCCTTAGGCATATGGCTATGCATGCCATTGATGGCATACCATATAATTGTCAGATATTGCATGTGGAGCAAGAGGTAGTTGGTGATGACATAACAGCCTTGCAGTGTGTTCTCAATTCGGATATTGAGAGAACTCAACTTCTGGAGGAAGAAGCTCGGTTACTTGCCCATCAGGTTGAGTACATAGTACATACTTTTCCATCTTAGTATTAGCTATGAAGATTCTATAAACATTGCTCAATATAATTTTATTAGAAAGATGCAGCAGCAGCCTTCTGAACTCTTCTGGCTTATACTTATACAACAACAACAACAAGAAGCCTATCCCACTAGGTGGGGTCGGCTTTCTAGCGCATACTTATATCTATCTAAAATAATGGAGGGACTATCAGTGACATTCAGTTAAACTTCTAACTGATGCCTGAACAACTAACTCCTGAAAACAATGGCTAAATAACTTGTAACAGCAGACAATCAACTAACTACTTATTATTACTCTGAAGAGCGCGTAACACATCAGTGAGCCTTTTTTGGAATAATTTTATGATGTGCTATTTTTTCCCCAAACTATTGCATGCCCTGAAAATTGCAGCAACTGACAATATTGTGTTTTTTTCTGCCAGAAAGAGTTGGATACTGGGGATGTAACTGTAAAGAGCAATGATGCCATTTCACAAAGACTGGAGGAAATCTACAAGAGGCTTGAGTTAATTGATGCTTACTCTGCGGAGTCACGTGCAGCTTCAATACTTGCAGTGAGTCCTTAAATGGTTTGATTTATTAATTGTTTAAAGTTATCAATTCAACTGCTGACAATCTCTGCTTATCAGCAACTAAGAAACTGATAATTTTTTTGATATTTTGATAAAAGAATTTTTATTTGAGACAAATGGGAAAAAGTATGATCAGTTGTAGGATAAGTTATTCTTCAATAAAATGGAAAGAAGAAAATAAAGAGCAATTAAAAGAAATGGCCTTGATATTTCAAGCACTTAACAAGGATGATCAACCTCTCCAGTTGTCTAGAAGAGACATTACCTTAACTGTCACGTGCCATACTTTAAAGAACTAAACACATGTTAAAGTATCTGTCAATTTTGTTCATTATATATCAAATTTGATGTATGCTTGTTACCTTGTGTATGCACAATCCTAGACCGATTAATGGATGATCCAACTGAAACAAAGTGGAAACATTTGAGGGGTAAAAATCCACTGTCACATGATATGGATTATGATTATAAGCATCAGATTAGTAGTTCTCTTCTAAGCAATAAAACCTGCTCCATCTTCATTGATTGGGATTATGTGATTAGGAGAAGTGGCAATGTTTGGTCGTGTTATTACCATTTCAAATGCTCTTTGTATTAATAATCTTTCTGCATGAAACTGCTCACCTTCCTGTTGATTCTTCGTAATTACTAAAGCAAAATAATTGATAGTGTGCCTCTCAAATACAGCATGAAATACTTATGAAGATGTGCATGTATAAATGAAAAGTCACACTAATATTTATGTTTATCTGCTTTTTGCTTTGCTTGAGTTTGTTATCTCACCGATGAATAATATTTTTAGGGCCTAAGCTTCTCTCCTGAGATGCAAAAGAAGGCAACAAAAACTTTCTCTGGAGGATGGCGGATGCGAATAGCTCTTGCTCGTGCACTATTCATAGAACCTGACTTGTTGCTTCTGGATGAACCTACGGTGAACTCTGCCATCTGTTTATATTGATTCATGCCATAATTAACTGAACCTCAGAAAAATTTAATGTAATTGAATTATATTTCAGAACCATCTTGATCTTCATGCTGTCTTATGGCTGGAATCTTACTTGGTTAAGTGGCCAAAAACGTTCATAGTTGTTTCTCATGCTAGAGAATTTTTGAACACGGTAATATGCTTGTGTATCTTGCTTTGATCATTTGTTGCTTGGTTGATCAATGTATTTTCTCTGGACTTGACTAGATCATTTGTTTTGCATCTCTTGTGATCAAAACTGTATCTTAGGTGGTTACTGACATAATTCACCTGCAAGCTAAAAAGTTGATTACTTATAAGGGGAATTATGATACTTTTGAGAGGACTCGAGAAGAACAGCTTAAAAACCAGCAAAAAGCAGTAGAGGCAAATGAACGAGCAAGAGCTCACATGCAGGTTTTCCTCTCTCTCTCTCTCTCTCTATATATATATATATATATATATATATTATTTTTTTGCTTTTTATTTTTGATTATTCTTAAAAGCTTGGTTGATGATAAAGCACAATTACGTCGTGCAATCCATTTAGCCAACCTTACCTAGTGGAATAAGACTTGTTGTTTGTTTGTCTTAAAAATTTGTGAAACTAAGTTGCTATATCTGTTAGACAGCTTGTGATTTAGAAGTTAAAATTTGTTTTGTACAGCAGTCATGCTGGAATATGCAATTCTGCAGTGATGGCATGATTTTCCTTTTTGAATTCTTCAGTTCATTATTGTTTGTTCATAGAATAGAACAATGTGATGTTACATTTGTTTCTCTTCCTATTACCCAATTATGGATTGCTTGATCTTTGTGTGCAGCTGAACTTCTTGTTTTTGTCTGTCATTTTATTGTAGTTTCCATTTTACACCCAAAGGTTTAGTTGTTGATATATAGGGCTTGTCGTCGTCCTCATTGTTGTTTTATTCTAGTTTATATTTGACATGTGGTATTTTGCTTTGCTACCAGTCTTTCATTGACAAATTCCGTTATAACGCCAAGAGGGCATCACTTGTTCAATCAAGAATCAAGGTAATATTTTCTTATTGTCTGTTAAGTATAAAAATGAAATGCTAGAAGCTCATGAGCTGATATCTCTCTCATGCTTCATTTTTTCCTAGCTTCATGGTTCAGTGTGTTCTTAGTTTTTAATTAAACAATCATTTATACTTGAGCATCTTAAATGTTTTCTCTTTTTTACAACTTTCTCAGGCTTTGGACCGGATGGGTCGTGTGGACGAAATTATCAATGATCCTGAGTATGAATTACCATTCTTTTCTTAGTCATTGCTGCAAAACATGTTTCCTTATTTTCTTTCTTTTAGTTTTGTTACTTTTCTTACTCATTGCTGCAAAACATGTCTGGTGGGATACAGCTATAAGTTTGAGTTCCCAACTCCAGATGATAGACCTGGTGCACCAATAATAAGTTTTAGGTAGGATGTTATTCCCCTCCTCTCACTCAATTTGTTAAGAGTGTAATGCGTATGCATGGCATGAATCCAATTGTAATGTTTGACAAAGCTTCTTGCCTTATTAATTTCCATTGGAAACTTATTTTCATACTTTAAATGTGTTTGCAGTGATGCATCATTTGGTTACCCTGGGGGCCCAATTCTATTTAAGAATTTGAATTTTGGGATTGATCTTGACAGCCGAATTGCTAGTAAGATAGCTTATCCAAGGAAAGCTTTAATGCCACTAAATTTGGAATACTCTATTCATTTGAGATATTCTTTGCTATTCATATTAGCACTTGCTAGTGTTGATGTTTATGATTGCATGACTTCATATCCTGTATTGCACTTTTTGGCAAACTAGTAGCGAGTAGATTTATGTGTGTAGGAGAATGTTTCAATATAATAATATGACAACTTCATTTTGTGTGTCAATATTATAGATTGTGTTCTGTTTGCTTATGCAGTGGTTGGACCCAATGGTATTGGCAAATCTACCATACTTAAGTTAATTGCTGGGGAACTACAACCCATTTCTGGGACAGTTTTTCGTTCTGCCAAGGTATTATATCACATGGGTAAATTTTAGCACATACCTTTTCTACTAATAAATAACACTACTTTATGTCATGTCTAAAAATTATAATACTTCCATTTCACATTGTTTATTTTACTTTCATCTTGGCCCAGATCAAGTTAACATGAAGTCCAAGTCTATATTTGGTTTGTACCTATCAGACATAAGATTATACATAATGATCTAAGAAGTCAAATTCCAGGAAAATGAATAATCTAGTGATTTTTCTTTTTCCCCTTCTCTCTTTTTTGGTTGGGGAGGACCACTTGTCTGTTATAGTATTTGCTGGTAAATTGACGTTATTAGCAGGCTTGGACCAAAGGCGCTTTGGCAATTACGGTTAATTATGATTTATTGTAATCCTTATCTTTATCTAAGTTTCTGTTATGTAGAATATTTATTAGGATTATTTCAGATTCTAGTAGATTAGATTCCGACTTATTTTTGTAACCCTGGGCTCTATATATGTACTGCTTATGCACTCTGAATAAAATCATCTGAGACATTATACCTCAGAATATTTCAGTATTGTTCTCTCCTCTCAACAATAAATTCTCTTTCATTAGTAGACATCGTTTCTAAATGTTTGACAGGACAGAGAGAGTCTCTACTTGCTCTGTGAAGTTTTCATTTCTTTCCTTAATTTGCATGCTTTCCTGCCTACAGGTTCGTATAGCGGTCTTCAGTCAGCATCATGTTGATGGATTAGACTTATCTTCAAATCCCCTTTTGTATATGATGCGCTGCTATCCTGTAAGTTCTTGCTGTTTGGGATAAGTAAATCTTTCAGCTGCAGCCTCTTTTCTTCTAATCACTATTTATTTCATGGGAAGAGCACAAAGATGGTTGAAATAATTTCTTTTCCATAAATAAATGCATAAGTGCATGCCTTTGTTGCATATTTTGTTCTTTCATAGACAATTTGCCTTGTTGAGGGCTTCAGATAAAATCTGTGCTGGTCTTGGGCTGATAACATGGTGGTTTTTACGCTGCCTAGCACATGTGCTTCTGACCTGAGCGTGTCAATGAATTTGTTTATTTGGACTTTCTCCAGGGTGTTCCTGAACAGAAACTTCGAGCTCACTTGGGCTCTTTTGGTGTAACTGGAAATCTTGCACTTCAGCCGATGTATACACTGTCAGGTACTATCTGCATAGTACTATTGTCTTATATTATATCACGGTTCATTGCTCCTTTACCATGTTTTACTGATATTTGATAATTGTGATAAGAAATGTTAGAAATGCTGTATTAATTGTTGCAAGGTACTATTGATATTCAGAGGCGTCGTTCTGTTTTAATTGCTGAGTTTTTAATATTTCTTAATGCTTTATTAGGGGGACAAAAAAGCAGGGTTGCATTTGCAAAGATAACTTTCAAGAAACCGCACATAATATTGCTTGATGAACCTTCCAATCACCTGGTACGTTACAGCCCCTCCAATCTTTCATTGTGTTTTTGCTTCTTGGTAGTTCATTTTTCAGCCGAGAAAAAACGGCAACTAGTTGCCTCTTATGTTTTGTTGTAGGAGAAATGTACTTTTTCTAGAGTGAGTTTTCACTTTTCAGTCTTTTTCCCTTCTAGCGATATTATTTATTCAGATATGATCGGGTCTCATTTTAAGAGGTGGAATGCGCAGAATTTTATTGGAAGTATTTAATGCCATAATCTGAAAAAATCAGATACTTTAATAAACGATTGGAGAAATTCCAATGCAAAGACAAATATAGCAAAAGGTCACCCACTATTACAACTGCCTACATCTATTTGTATGGAAAATGCATGGCTGAACCGAATAAACTTCTAAGCACTATCTGACATGATATGCATACCTACCCATGTGCAGTAAGAGGTAATCACCTCATTCTTCCACAATGTCCACTACTGCTTGGACTGTGTCTTTCATCTGCCCACTTATCTTCTATCCTTGATCTTCTCTTCCTTTTGCTGTTTGTGTTTAAGGTTTGTTGGGGCTGTGGGGCACGTGGAATCCTATCTAAATGATATATATTATCTTGTGGTAGGTGTGACTGTAGGACATTCCTAGGTATTCCCAGGGAATAGGCATCTGTTATATAGATCCGTGCTCTCTCATCAAGGAGGGTCCACTAGGCTGCCATTAAAAACTTTGGCACTGGTTGTATTCAATTCAGGCATTTTTATGTAAAACAAATGGATAGTGTTCACTTAAATTGTTGTATTCACCATAAGCGTATGGGTGTTCTAGTATTGTTGAAATTACAATATTGTCCCACGGGAAAGAAATTCGTTAAATGAAGCAACAGACCACTCAACCATTGAGACTTGAACCAAGAAAACATAAAAGAAGCACTTCAAATAATGATAGAATGATTAAAGCAAAACGCAAATTGTAATGTGTGTTTGATCAATGAGAGAACGAGGATCAACTGTCCCTCATCCAATCCCTAGCAATTGCCTATTCTTCCCTTTCTTAATGCAAATAATACCATGTGTGCTAATCAGGATTCAATTTTACTTACCAGTGTCTTTCAAATCACTACAGTAAGCTTGCCAAGAGATTAATACCAAATTTCTTAGGCAAGTATTCTATGATTCAATTATGCACATTTCTTTTTGGTTTTTCACTATCCTAACTAACCCTTCCCCATCGGGAAGGTGGGCCCACACACACCCACAGTACACCCACACTCCTAATAATATTTTCCCTTGAGCCACTTGGGGATAGAACCCACAACCTCCCTCTTTTAAGGGGGCGTGGGATGCCATTGAGCCAAGAGCTTCTTGGCGCACAAATCTTGTTGGTTATGAGAAGTGTTGGTATATTTTTATTTTAACTAAAAAATTGCCTCATGCATGTAATCATCCACTGCAAATTGCACGGTCTGTCTTAGATCTTCTATTTCTAGATCTCACTAAACATTCATTGCAGTTGGCTAGGCTAGATATGGAAGCAATAAAAACAAGTTGCAAACATTCTCATCTATTATTGTGTCAAGCAAGAGAATAGGAATGATCAGTAGTTTAGAAGTGAGTTCAAGCCTAGCCAAGAAAAAAAAAAGGAAATGAGTTCAAGCTAATACTATAACAAGAAGACATAGTCACACAAGGCTAAAAACACAAATATCAGTTACAGCACATGGAATCCGAAAGAGGAAAGGAGAAAAAGAAGATGTAGAAGTTGAGAATGGTTGCCAAATGCCTTGGTCACGAGCCTCCCCATGTAGACCAGGCTCCCTCTCCTTTGAAGTTCCTTTGTTGATATTTATAGAGAAATCCTTGAGTTTTGAGGGTTCCTTGGCCAGATCGTGGCTTAACTCCAGAATTTTTAACCGTGATCTTATTCCTTCTTTTTATTAACTTCCAGTTTGAGTTCCTTATTTTTCCTTTTCTCATTTAGAACTTGCACTACAAGTTTCTCCCTTATTTTAAATAAGGAAGAAACTAATAAAAAATAAAAAGTTAATGCAGAGTCTTCCAAGCTTATAAAAAAAAAGAAAGAAAAAGAAAAAGAAAAATTGCGGTCTTCCAAATTATATGAATTTAAATAAACTCAGCAGACATAAAACCATATATTTTCATATTTTCTCTTAAGCCCTTGCACATTTTTCTTTATTTTCCTGAATTAATTCATTATGTAACCAATCAAAATACCCTGAAAAATACGCATAAAAGCATGAACAGTTGAGAATTAACTGATAGAGACGGGAAATTTCAACTTCAGGAGGAGCTTTTTCAGAGCTAGCGCTAGATCGTGGTTTCAAGGCACATGCTGTTCTATGTATGACATGAGCTTTGAATGATGAACTGAAGCAATCATGAAACCATATGGTTATTATGATGTGTTAATGAGTATTATAAACGATTTTTAAGTGCTTGATTGTGATGGTGTGGTGCTGTGGTACTTCATCATATGATAAGCTGAAAAGACTTTAAGATATTGATTCTTGGAAATAAACTATGATATAATCCAGATTGTGCGTTCCGGATTAAGTGAACGTAACTTTTACAGCCCAAATATTGACTGAAAATGTTTTATGTAGGACTTGGATGCTGTTGAGGCGCTAATTCAAGGTCTTGTCATGTTCCAAGGAGGCATTCTAATGGTATGTATATGGACGTCAGTTCTCTTGCTGACTCCCAATTGTATTAATTGCAATCGATGATTCATTGTCATTTAGACTACCGTGGACAATTTTGTGGACCAATCGATGTTTGCTTTTTGGCAGGTGAGTCACGATGAGCATCTAATATCTGGAAGCGTGGAGGAGCTATGGGCTGTATCCCAAGGAAGAGTGAGCCCATTCCAAGGCACCTTCCAAGATTATAAGAAGATACTCCAATCATCATAGGAAAGTGTATTAGTAGTTAACAATTTTTGTGTTGAGAAGCCATTTACAAATATTTCTGGTGTAATCTCAGGTGTAATCTCACGTAGTCGTAGATGGGCAATGGTAATATAACACGTTTGGACGAGTTTCCCATTTTATATATTATTGTCATTATTTATTCATTTTTGATAATGCTTGGCCATAGGATGAGTTTTGAAGAGCTATGACCTATTCATTTTAGGAAGAAATGTTTCTGTAGCTCTGTAAAAACTCTGCTTGACGTTGCGATGACAATAGGTGGCGGTTTACCAGATAAAATGCATATTAGTATAAACTTGCACCGTTGGACTGGCGGATGTGGGCTGATGGTAGGGTTGTGCAACAGGCAGGAGGAGCTGGCCAGTGGGGATGCCTATGATCCGTCTCATTTTGTCCAAAAGAGGCTGGGCTAGCTTGTGCCTTTTTAGGCTTGTTCTAGCCTATTCGGAAACGGGTTGGGCAGGCCAGAAACGGGTTTGTGCAGGTTGGCCAGCCCGTTTTGCTTTTTACCCAACAATAAAAAACCAACATTCTACAAGCAGTCGCAGTCCAGTCCCATAATTTCAGCTTTCAACCCGTTGCTTGAGAGGTTCCAAAGTAATATGCTTATGCATGCTTCATGCTCCTACCATTGCTTATGAGCAAATGGTCAATCACATAATTTAATTTAAATCAAAGCAAACAAACAACATTCACTACTAAATTAATTTTATAGTTAAAATTAGAGCATACAAACAATGGTCAATACAAATTAGGTCATACAATAGCCTGAGCAAATTCAAAAATAATACAAGTTCAAACAACTTTCACTACAAAGTTTCACTTTACTTTATGAACTCGATGGTTGAATATATAATGCTATTAGAAAATAAATTATAATCATACTTAATAAGTCATATGGTCAACAGAGTCCAGACTACAGAGCAGAGGCAAAGAATCATCACTACGAATTTAACACTCAATTTATCTAGTCATAGGCTCATGGCAGGCATACATGCACACGAGCACGATGAAGCAAAGACGAGGATGACTCTGAGAGACAAGATCAAGTGGGAGTGGGTTTGTGCTAGTGTGCCGTGGGACTAGGCCATTTGACCATTCGAGCAGGAGTTGGAGCTGAACACCGAGTAGCTGTGAGTGGCGAGCCGGTGACCTTGTCTAAGTGAGCGTCGAGTGTGAGAGTGAGTATGAAAAAAAAAAAAAAAAAAGAGCAAGCCAGCGTTAGGCAGAGGTGAGAGACAGATCGAGCCAGTGTCAGCAAGCAAGGCAACGGCATAGCGCCAGTGAGCAGCAACTGAACTACTAGGCTCAGTTGAACCTGAACACAGGGCAGCGGCAACGAGCGACAGAGTGAGCCAACGAGGTGAAGAGCGAAGATGTGAATTGCGAAAAGGGGGGGTTTTTGGCTTGGGAAAGTCAAAGTGACAGTCTAATAATATCTAGCACTAAAACGCAACTTGACAGGACCAAGAAAGTAGACTACCTGCAACTTCTTTGCTACATTTTTTTTTTTTAAATTTTAAACAGGACGGGACGAGCAGCCCGATGAATAACCCGTAGCTATTATAATTTTAAAAAGTTAGTATAAGAAATAATTGAGTTTATGCAAATATTAGTCATCGTTAAATTCTTATAGTTATGTTTTAAAAATATAAGAATTAATATTACAGATATATAAAACTTGAAAAGGTTGAAACAATGAGATATAACTACAGGGATTGATATCAAAACATGCTAGAAGTATAAGGACCAGAGTTATATTTCCCAAAAAAAAAAAAGTTGTCTTGCGGTTGATTATTTCAATTAGGTCATTGATTAAAGTTAAGTAGGGAATGTCAATTGACTTTCTTTATATTATTTTGCAAGGGGTCAAAACATAATTTCAAAAAAAAATTATGTCATGTAAGTCTTTAGAAATTTTAAAGTAATTACCTCATTTTATGATTTTTTTTTGTTATTTTTCTATTTGGATGATATTTATTTATCATTCTCCATATATTTTCATTAGCTACAATTAGAATATTTTTTATTAATAAAATAATCACTGGTAACTAATAGTAAGTCACTTTTACAGAAATTATGGAGAAGTCATTAAATTATTAATTTTGTTTAAGAAAAGAAATTTTTTAGTTTATTCTTATTAAATGTATATTTTAAGAAATATTTTTTTCTTGTGACTTTTTACTCTTTACAAATAAAATTTTTTTACAAAATAAAATTGAAAAAAAGAAACTAACAATTTACTAAAGTGACTTTTAAAAAATATCATAAATTTTTTATAGAAGATGACTTACTCTCCCTCCCTCAAAAAATTTTTAGACATTTTTTATGAAGTTTTTCAGTTAGATGTTAAAAAATATAAAACATTATTAATTTTTTAATATGTAATTAATGAATTCTTTAAAAAAATATTTGTATTAAATAAATCAATCAACTCTTTATTTTTGAGTGAGATTCCTTATTAAATGAGAGAAAATATAAAAAATAGTTTTAATTTTAAAAATAATTAATGAAATATAATTGGGGTGAAAATGTAATATTTTTGTCTCAAATTATAAAATGCTTTTAAAAAATTTTTGACATCCCAAAGTATAAGGCTTATTTAGAAAAATAAGTTTGTATTAAATGGGCTTATTTTAATATTATCCTTTTTTTATAATTAATTTCTATCCCTTATTTTTTTAATGTATTAAATGATAAATATTTTTAAAATTTTATATTTTTATTTTTTAAAAAATAAGATTTTTAAATATATTTAAAAAAATTTATTGATACGTGAGATTTTATATAAAAATATTTTATAGTTTGAAATGGAAAGATTATTACTCCTTCTATTATAAAAATATTTTTTAACGAGTTGTGTGTTAAAAAATATAAAATATTTTTAATCTTTTGAAGTGTAATCATTATTTTTTATTTAAAAATGTCTCTATTGATGAATGATTTTATATTTATTATAGGGTGTTTAATAAAATTAAATATAAAAATATAGAATTAATTTAAAAATAAATAATTATTTTATTAAAAGATAAAATTTAATTAAAAATATTTTATAATTTTAAACGGATGAATGTACTTTTGACATTAGAGATTATACAGGAACCAACGGGAATAGTAACTTCTGGTATGAATTAAGTGTCAAGCCACGGACAGGATGGAGCAGTATAATGGATAAAAGGAACGCGTAGGACAGGCGGGGGCAAGAGAGTAATTTTCCGCAGGCCAGAAATTTTGCTTCATTTTTCGCCAACACAAGAAATCCTGCTGCGAAGACTGGATCGCTTTCTCGATCTGATTCCGCGGCTAAGGATGGAGAATACCAACAACAACATGATGTCGAGGGAGAAGATCGATCAGATGGCCCTTTGGTTGGGTTCCACCCTTTCATCAGCTTTCTTCTCCTCCCTGGAACGCTTCTCCTGCGTGAACCTCTCCACCGATGACGCCGACTGTGATGACGACATTGCCGATGTTGTTGTGGTCCAAGATTCCGCCGCCGCCAAATCCACCAACCCTCACGTCAAGGACGTTTCCGATCTCCCCGTTTGAGACAACCTCATCCTTCCTGTATAGGTCTTTTCCTTTTATGTAGAAGTAAGGGGTCCGTTTATTCTAAGCTTATTTTCCGGTGGGGTATTGAATTATAGTTATAAATAGATGCATACATCCAATACTGGTTTTATGTGATTGTGACGTCGATATGCCTGATTTCGTCGCATTGCTGCTGTGCCTCATTTACTTGTATCCTAAATAAATCAGTCCTTGATTCATGCTTGTTGCGGCTTTGTACATTAATAACTACATTCCCCTCGTTCTCCATTATAGTTTATACATGTTGACCTCTTATTTTATTATGCTTCTGAACCTTTGCCTCTGGATCCACCCTTGGAACCAATGTCATGAGCGAGGGTGAGGAATTTCTATATCATTAAGTTTCTTTTTCTTTTTTATTTCTGGTCTGTGTATCATGAATCTAATTCTAGAACTTTACGCGTCACAGGTACCGGTAAGCATTTGGTAAGATACATATGGATGTAGACCTATATCATGTAATTTGCTAACTCTTTTTTATTAGGTCTGTAGAATAGAATGATATGATACGATTGATTTATTTTGTGAAGTTTGAATTGGACTTAAATTGATTCGTGAGGAATATGAATTGGTTCCATCAGGTCTGAGTCTGGTATTCAAATGGCGAGACACAACAGAATGAAAATTTTAGTAAAACTAGGGCTAAGAGAAGTTTGGCTGGAGTTGCTTCAAAAGTGTGGTGGGGAAGTAAAATAACTCGAATTATAGGCCAAATCATTTGACTCTGGCATGATCGAATATTCCTTTATGTTATGAACATATCCAGCTCATGATTACTTAGCTTTACTCTGCTAATAATAGCATGTTGAAAAGTGAGTAACCGGGTAAAAATGGTGTTTAGCCAGAGGCTGAGGATGTTACGTCATGTACTTTTGATATACCTGTGCCAGAGCGAAACTTGGGAATGAGGATGTGAATGTGAAACAGTTAGAGTCTCAGGAAAGATGGGGAAATAAACCCCGTGTTCACAAATAAACGGCTGGAGGCTCAGAGAGCAGTGGAAATAAACTGGGGGTTCCCAAAATAGGCTGTTTCAGAATATGCTCTGAGATTAAAAGTATAAAGGCTTATTCTTCTGAAAGCTGACTTTTTTTCCCCTGACTATGAGCCTAGGAAAGGTAGTCGGGCAAAATGACCTTTACTCTGGTTATGGAGTTGCTGATTTTTGAAAATGAACATGTCTGATGAGAGGAGGTATTACTCAAAATATTGCAAATTTAGAGCAAGCAATATGATTTTATTATGAGCTAAGTCTTTTATCCTCTTCTCATTTTAGGCCTTTTCTCACCCGATATTGCACCCCTGGATGTGTAGTTTGCTTCGTTAGGTGTGGAATCGTCACTTACTGGTACAAAAAGAATCACAGGAGATAAAAGATGATGCACTTGCTACGTGAATTCTTCATTCTTATTCGTCAACTAGGGCTTCTCTGGCGGATGTAATCCCAGTCTCCTAGTTTTTGACAGAACTATTTTAAAGCTATGCAACTACTATTAGAACCTTGAATAATACCAGATGAACAGTAGAAACGTAAGTGGGCGTTTTACCAGTTTTGTTTAGTCTCCATTCTCCTTCCAACAGAGAAGCATGACTATGCACCGTCGGATAATGTATAGCTTTGCTCTCTTCTCCTTCAAAACTCTACCCTTGGGCCCCTGAAGATTTTTGGCTTGCTTTCTTGAAGACGTGGGAATTTCCATGATCTGGTTTCACTTCCTCAACTTCATACTTCCCGATAGAATTCCTCTTTGGCACAGGCTATATGGAGTTTCTTGGCAGTGGCGGTGAGTGGGTTAGGAGTTACTGGAGTTAAGTTTGAGTTTGCTTTGAAATCAACAAAATAGTGAGAGTGAAGAGAGTATTAATTCGAGTTAGCTTTTTCGGTCAACCAGGAAGCTGATTTTCTGCTTTCAGTCGCTGTCCCGGGCTTCCTTGGTCCCTACTCCTGCGTCCGGAATCCCAGGACTGCTGTTTTCTGTGCTGTGCTTCTTTATTTACTGCCTAAGGACAAATAAACCGCGTAGGCACTTATCCGAGTAATTTTATAAAAACTTGTTAATGCATCTGCTAGAATTTAGTATATTATCCTCATTTTGGACACGCGTGATTTATTTGATGCCTAACTGCCAAACATTCTGCGGTGATGATAGACACACACCATTTTGTGTGTGTGTGTGTGTGTTTGGTGAGAGGGTTAGCATATATTTTTGGTTTTAGGTATCTTTGTATGCATTCCTGGGAATCACATCCTTAGCAATATCGTAGAAGTTTAATATATAATCCAAATCCTATCAAGTGCTCCAAAACATGATAGCTACGTATCTTGGATCTCTAACGAAGCAAGGAGTGCTAGATTTCTCTGGTGTCCTTTATGTGTCCTGTTAAGAAAACTTTCTTATGAGCTCCATTCTGGTAGAAGTTATTCTGGCTTGTTTGAGTGGGGCGAATAACAAAACATCTTAACACCTTGTCTTGTTTTGTGTTTTTTCCCCCATGAAGTTATGTATTTTATCATTTCAATCTAGAGCAGTAGATCCTTGTAATCTTTTTATATTACTGCCTTCATTTCATTACATGTCTTCTTTTTTTTTAAAAAAAATTGTTTTATATTACAAGTCTTTTCAAAATTTCGAGGCAATATTTAGTAGTGCTTTTCATGTTTTACCTTTGGACTTATTTTTTATTTATTATAATTATAACGTTTTAGAGGCATTAAATGTAGAGTTGGGAATACGGACGGGCCTGATCCTTATGGGCCTGAGTCCTAAAACTCGATTCTCTATTTTGAGCCTTATTTCTTAAGTTCGACCCTTATGTGAAGGGTTTAGGGCTAAGCCTGCGAGCCCTCTTTCAAAAGATGAAAAAATTAAAATAAAATTAAATATTATAAATTAATTAAAATATTTTAAAATTAAAAAAATTAAAATTCTCATAATTTTTTAAAAACTAAACAACATACATTTATAAGTCTAGTAATAAAATTTAAATTTTGGTTAAAAAATAATTCATTTTTTATAAATACTCAAACATTATAATTATAAAAAAATAAAAAATATCAAAAATTTTATACTATTCACTGATATTTATTAAATTATATTAAATTAATTTTAAAATAAATTAAAATTAATAATAATATAATGTATGTAGGATCAGGTGAGTATGTCATTCGCTTCAAATATGTGTTTCACAAAAAAAAATAAGAATAATAATAATCATATAGCAGGGCTTGAAGGGTCGTTCGAGCCTGAATTTTTTTTTTATAGAGTTTATTAGGGTCAAGTTCTCAAACCTGATTACTTTAAAAAATATTCATTTTTAAAATTTAAACCCTTATTTAAATAGAGCCTTCAAGTCCTGCTTTTCAAGCTCAGCCTTTATTCTCGACTCTAATTAAATGAGGGGTAAATTTGATAAATTAAGACATTTTATATATTTATTGTGTTTCTTAATATGCATGTAATAATCTTAAAAGACAAATATAATAAAACGGAGGGAGTATTTTATAAGAATTATGTTTTTGCATATAATTAATTAATTATTGGGTAACGATGGTATTTTAGGAACTGCTGTATCTGTATTAGTTTAGTTGCGCATGTTATTGGAAAGCTCTCCGGCAAGAAGTATTTCGTGGCCAAAATGGGAATGTTTATTCATGCCAATCAACGCAATGAATTACCGATTTCAGGCTAGACCCTGAAATGAAACGGTTTGAGAGATATCAAGAGCTGCTGCCAAGCAAATTTATGGCCACGAGTTTTTTATATAATTGAAATTAAAATTAGAATTGTACTCAAAATTGAAATTAAAATGAGAATAGAATTAGATTTTAAAGATGTTTTGTATGCACATAAGATTTTGATATATATTTTTAAAAAAAATAAGAAAGAGTACCCAAAGCAGGGCTACGTTCTTGCTAATCCCCACATATGTATTTAAAACAGGAAAAGATCAAAGTGACCTTGTCCCAGAATTAAAAAGACGTTCTCTATCCCTTTTTATTTATTTGTTAAAAAAAAAACCCATCAGGAGCCCACCATTACACCCCCCCCACGATTGTGACATTTGCTTCTTCACTTTCAATCAAATACCCACAAATACACCCTCATCTTATTATCACCAGAGTATTGTAACAAAAAAAAAAAATTGTAACAAAACAGAGAAAAAAAAATGAAACAAATAGATAGAAGTAGAGTCTTGTGAAGTCGATGCTGGTGAGGAAGAAGATGAACACCAAAAAATATGCCAAGAACAAGAGCCACAAAGTCAATTTTGAGACCCGAAAACAGCATCAAACGATGGATAAATTGACGTCATTCGTCGCTGGAAGGAGATGTGCAATGTTGCTCAATGGTGGCTGCTGCCGTCTTTGTCACTGTTATTGGGTGCTTGGATGTGGTTAGTCGATCCACCCATGGGTGGCCTCAGCTTCATCCACAATTGATGAGTGGGGTTAAAAATGAACAAACAAGGTTGGAATCTGGGACGGATCCAGAAACAATTATATTGGGGGGCCAAAATGTGAAATTACATAATAGTGGGGAACATAATTAATTTAAGCATTTTTTACAAATAAAAATCAAGCAATTTTCACAAGATTTTTGTAACATCAGGGCAGAGGCACCCTTGCTTGTCCCCCTTAGGTCTGTTCCTGGTTGGAATCTGATTCAAGCTTTGATTCCATTATTGAAAGTAAGAAATTGAATTTAAACCTTTTTTTTTGGAAAATTAGATTGTAGACCTCAAAAGAGCAAAAAATTACACCACAAGCTCAATATATTCTATTATTGCACTGCAGATCTAATGGTTCTTGTTGCAATTTTTCTTGAGAATAAAAGTATAATTTTGCCCTTATATAATTTAAAAACTTAGATCATGCATAACACTATGTCCATCGATGCATAACATAATATCCATGTGTATTTAATTGATTAGTAGGTTTAATAAAATATATAAATGACGCATATAATATACAACACAATGTTCATGGATACACAATACAATATCTATACATTTTCAACTAAATGTCCATGCGTGGACATATATGGATATTGTATTGAGAATTTATAGACATCGTGTTGTGTATTTATAGATATCGTATTGTACATATTCTATGTGACTTTAATTTAATTAACCTATAGATCAACTAGATATATATGAATATTGTATTGAGAATTCATAAATATCTTATTGTACATCTATGAATATTGTGTTTAAAATGCTTTGTATGATGTATATGTTAACCTATAGATCAATTGGACACACATATATATCGTGTTATGCATTCATAGACATCATGTTGTACATGATTTGAGTTTTTAAATCACATAAAGGCAAATTGTACTTTTGCTTTCAAGAAAAATTATAATAAAGACCCTTAGGCCTGTTGTGTAATATCAAAATACATTGAGCCCAACATGAATTTTTTTATTATTTTAGGGCTTGTAGTGCGATTCTTCCTTTTTTTTAAGAATCTAATTCCCAAGGAAATTTAATTTAGGAATACCAAACAAGCTTCCATAAAAAATCTTTTTCTAATTCCACTTGTAGGATGAGGACACTTACCAAACATAACCTAAAGTGAAAATATAACTTTAATTAGGAAAAACTCAATAGATATAATTTTTTTATTTAAAATAATTTAATCTTTATATTTTTTTTCTTACTCGAAAAGGCTTACTCTCTATGATTTTACTCTCTATGATTTTAAAACTAAACAAACTAGGATTTGGTCCTTAAAATCGTTGCTTTCATACATTATTAATTAAAACTCATATCAATGATACTAAATTTATAACACTGCAATATCAGCAAGCAGTAGTTCAATTACCATATCATATGCAACACACATCTTGTGTGTCAGACCCAAATGTTAGTTATGTTTGGTTTGATGGGAAATTTTTAATGAAAAAGAAATGGGTAAAACCTTTAGGAAAAACTTGGTTTGGTTCGCTGAAATTGTTTTCTTTCAAAATAACAGGTTGAATTTAGTTAAAGGAATTAACTTCTCACAATATAATAAATTAATATTTGAATTTTTAAAAAAATATTTATATTTAGCATTCAAAAGATACTAAACAAGATTAATTCCTTAAAATCTCAACCATGAAGAATATAGAAGATCATTGGTGTCATTTCAATTATTTTCACATGTCCCTAAATATTCTTAAATAAATATTGTCTTTCTTTTGTCACGCTGCGTGTCGTGACTCAAGCATACCGAATAACTTTTTTATTTTCATTCCCACTCTCGTCCTCGCTGGTTCCATTCATTTTCCTTTTTCTTAAAAACGATTCCAACATTTCAATACTTCACTGTCTTAAATTATAAAATATTTTTAAATAAAATTTTACTTTTTCAATTCTCTTTATAAATAATTTTTAACAATTTTATCAATATCAATACAGAAAAAATATACTTCTTTTATTCAAAAATATAAAACATTTTTTGAAGAGTAAGATATTAAAAAATGTAAGACATTTTTAATCTTTTGATGTATAATTATTGTCTTTTTTTAAAAGTACCTCTATTAATAGTGAATTTGTATTTATTATAAGATATTTAATAGAGGTAAATATAAAAAGATATGATTAGTTTGAAAGTAGGTAACTACTTTATTGAGGTAAGATTTGATTAAAAATGTAAAAACATTTTTAAATGAAGAGAGTAAGAAATAAAATATGTAGAATTATAAATATGCCCTTATATAATAAATTTAAAAAATAACGTTATATTATTTTTTTCTCTTTTATGAAGGATGATTTTTAAAATATATTTTTAAATTTTACCTAAAAAGTCACAACGTGATTTATAAATGAGATTAAATAAATTTTTTAAAATATAACTTATAAATAAAACTAAAGGAAGTGTATATTAATAAAGTTTATTAAATACTTTTTATAACTTTACTTTTTTTAAAATAAAAATATAAACTTTAAAAAATATTTTTTATTTAATATTTTATTTATAAAATAATATTAAAGATAAAAATATATGAAAAATAATATTAAAAAATATTATTAATAATAATATTAAAATGTAGAAATATTTTATAGTTTGAGATGGTCGCTGCATGAACTAAAAATTCTGTTCGCTGTAAAAGGTGCAAGTGCTAGACTTCTTTTCACGCGGAAATAATAGAGTGTTGACCGAAGGACTCTAGACAACAGGAAGAGGGCAAACTGTTAGGACCCCGCATCAAAGAGAGCGACGGTTGGTACGGCAGAAGCCAATTGCCGGCTTCGGAGAATTGAGACCCTTAAACATGTCCGCTTCTCGCATCGCAGGTTCCCAACCATGGCATACTTTCTATTCTTTTTTCAAGAACGAAGTTCTCGATTTCATCTCCTGTGCTCACTAACAATCATTGTGGCTGTCACAGAATCTTCATCTGCTTGTTCTTTGGACCCAGACCTCGGGAAACCCTCAAACCCTCTTGTCTCCTTCCTCGAACGTTTGCAGGAAACCGCTTTAATCACTTTGGGCAAATCTAAATTCGATGCAAAAACATATGTGGACTTGCCATTGAAGTTCAGCTTGTCTGAGACAGAGGAGGCATTTGATCAACTTGCTAGGTCTGCTAACGGCTCTGTACCTGCCGAGGAGTTCAAAGGTTTTATAGAAAGATACTTTGATGGTGCAGGGGACGATGTGGTGAACTACGAACCAGAGGATTACGTAGCAGAGCCCGAGGGATTCTTGCCCAAAGTTGAGCATCCAGAGTTGAGGGCATGGGCATTGAAGGTTCATTCCCTTTGGAAAAACTTGAGTCGCAGAGTATCAAGTGGGGTCAAAAGTCATCCCCATTTGCGTACTCTGCTTCCTTTGCCAGCTTCTTTTGTCATTCCTGGTTCACGCTTTCGTGAGGTTTATTACTGGGATTCCTACTGGGTCATCAGGTTTCTTTATCAGCTTAACTTTTATTCTATTTTTTTTCCTTTGTTTTGGTATGATAAACTTCTATTCTGCATTTGATACTTCGTAAACAACTCCTTATTGATGTTTGGAGTAAAGTGAGATTGTATCAAATATTAGACGAAGATACTATTGGAAGAATGAATTTCCATGGCCGTATTTGGAATTAAGTTACACAGACGCAATCTTATAAATTTGTCTAGTTTCTTTTTAGTCTCAAGGACCATTACTTATACTTTGAGATGCAGGGGTTTACTGGTGAGTAAAATGTACAAGACAGCCACGGCAATCGTGACTAATCTTATTTCATTAATAGAGGATTATGGGTTTGTGCTTAATGGTGCAAGAGCCTACTACACTAACAGAAGGTATTGTTTTCCCTTTTACTCTTATTGTTTTTCTGTTGTTTGATGACAATTTGAAGAATAACGTCAGGGGATTGCTAATTTCTTTTGTAATTCAAAATTTCCACATATCCTTTCTAAATCATTGTATGTTGTTGAGTGGTTAAAATCCAAATTTGGAGTTCAATTTAGGATGCTGTAGATGTTGAACATGTATTGCATGCTAATTCTTAATGGGGTTATTTTACTTTTCATTGAATTGTATGCTAATAGTTTAGTAAAGCATAGGAAATAATGATAAGTGTTTTACTGGTTTACTATTCAGTCTTATAATCTTAAAATAAGTTGGTGGAGAAGTTAGGGAATGATTTTTATTGTGCGTTGATATTACCTAATCTCAAAAATGTTTTCTTTTTCTTATAATTTTTGCCCTACAAGAGGAAATAGCGACTACAAGCTTGATTATGATTTTTGCAGCCAACCTCCCCTTTTAAGTTCTATGATTTATGAGATTTACAACAGCACTGGTGATATAGAGTTGGTCAAAAGATCGCTTCCTGCACTACAGAAAGAATATGAATTTTGGAATTCAGGTAGTACAGCCGAACTTCTGCTTCAGCTGCTGGACTTGATAGTTTATTATCTATGATTGGATTATAGCTTGTGATATAAAATTTTCTTTACTTTTTGTCCAAAATTCATGGTTTTTACTTTTAATTATCTTGTAGACATGCATAGGGTGACCATTGTGGATGCTCAAGGTCGCACTCACACCTTAAATCGTTATTATGCAAAGTGGAATAAACCCAGGCCAGAGTCTTCAATAAACGTATGTAACATGTGTTACTTTATTTTGAACTGGCTTAGCAATGAAATGGAATAGGAGTTGTAACTCTTGGGGAATTTCTTGGTGCAGGACAAGGCATTTTCTTCCAAGTTTTTGAATGTTTCAGAAAAACAGCACTTTTACCGTGAAGTGGCTTCAACTGCTGAATCAGGATGGGATTTTAGCACAAGATGGATGAGGTAACTAACTTATTGGTCTTGCTATATCTTTCACAAAAGCTCAGCCTGATGTGTGCCTAGATTCTTTTTCTTTTTATCTAGAGGGGCATGCACCAATGGCCTGAGATTATAAGTGAGATCGAACCTGCAACCTCCCAATACAAGAGAGTCACCAGGCCATTAGCGATGTGTGCCTAGATTCTCAGATGTAGTGATGGCAACTCAGTGCTAGTTGCAACATGTTTCTTTCTTCAAATACTTGGAACTGGTGATAAACAATACAAACAATCATGTGACTATGATGCTGTTTTGGTGCAGAGATCCTTCAGATTTTACCACATTGGCGACAACAGCAGTAGTACCTGTTGATCTAAATGCTTTTATACTAGGGGTATGTTTTAGACCAATGACTAAATCAAACGAGTCTTGGAACTTTGGTATTGGACCTGATTTCTACTGTGATGCATGTCTGCTCAGATGGAACTTAATATTGCATTTTTAGCTGAAGTTACTGGAGATGATTGCACTGCTCAGCACTTCCTGCAACTTGCTGATTCTAGAAAGAAGGCGTTCAACTCTGTTTTCTGGAACAAAAGTAAGAAACAATGGCTTGATTATTGGCTCACAAGTAGTACATGTCAGGTATTTTCTATCTACTGCTGCGAATATGGGTTTGTCATTATGGGACTTGTCTACCTTACAGCAACTATTCTGACTCATCCTTTTTTATCCTTGTAGGAAGCTCAAGTATGGAATGCTCACCAGCAGAATCAAAATGTATTTGCTTCCAATTTTGTTCCTTTATGGATGGAACCATTTTACTCAGGTAAATTTGATTCCTTGACTGTATGTCTCTGCCATTGTTACCAGTGTAACTTTGGTTACAAGACAGTTAAATTTTCTTCTTTGCAAGATTGACTCTAAAGCTATACTCTCATTTGTCCACTCTCACTAAGAGTTTGGATTAGTTGATGTCGACATAAGACTTGACATTGTTACCCCCATTCAATAGCTTTGTATATATTGTGATTTCATTCAATTTGACTGTTGACTTACAAGTAGTTACGGTATCGATCTTGGTGCCATTTTTTTTTTAAATAATGGACAGTAAAACAGGTTGCTAGAGGGCTTAATGGTTTTAGATTAGCATGAACTCTTGCATGGATAATCTTGAGACTGCAGGTTATAATACAGTTATTGCACCACAGGAATTTGTTGGTCACTATGAACCAGTTAAAATTTATGCTTCTTGTTTTGCTGCATTTTCTTTGCTTTAAAAGTATTATTGACCGTGACAAAATGGTTCTAAGATTCTCATTAATTGCTGGGAACGGATGCACTAGACAAAGTCATAAAAATGCAAGAACAAGTCAATGTTATGACTTTGAAAATTCAAGGGAGAAAAAGAAAGATTTCTGATAAGCTACGTTTGGAGACTGTAGGTTTAGGCCTTAGATGCGTTACTTACTTATTCTAATTTACTTATTCTAATTTCTAGATGGCCTTTGAAAATATACAACAACAACACACTGTGCTTAAAGTTCTAACAGTGTTTCATATTTCTGAAGACTCGTCGGTTGTGGGTAGCGTTGCCGAAAGCCTCAAAACCAGTGGGCTGCTTGGTGCTGCTGGAATTGCAACCTCTTTGACGAATTCAGGACAACAGTGGTAAGTTAGAACATAGAACATATGACAGCATCAGAGATTAAGGTTCATGTCAATGTTATGACTCATGGAGCTTTGTAAATAGGGACTTTCCAAATGGCTGGGCCCCACTTCAACATATGATAGTAGAAGGTCTGGTGAAATCTGGGTTGAAAGAAGCAGCTTCACTGGGGCAAGAAATTGCAAGGAGATGGATCGCAACCAATTATATCACCTACAAGAAATCGGGGCTCATGCATGAAAAATATAATGTGGAGCATTGTGGAGAGTTTGGAGGTGGGGGTGAATATTCAACCCAGGTATGTCAGAACACTAACAAACAAGCTTGCAATTTTTTTTGGAATAGTTTTGAAATGTTTGATTGGGATTTAATTATTGCAATGCAGACTGGTTTTGGGTGGTCGAACGGAGTGGTGCTTGCTTTCTTGGACGAGTTTGGATGGCCGCGACATCTCGATATTGACTGCTCATCGATTCCCTCTGAAATTCACAGCACTCGCAACTGAACTTAACCAAGCGGGCTACTTGGTGATGGTTGGTATAGATATAAAAGGACTTTCAATAATGTTACACATTATTTAAGTTACTAAGGAATTGATGATGCTTTTTTTTTTTTTTTTCCATAGGGAAGTATGCTTCATATAAGATCTAAGTATCATGGTAATAAAATCCAATTCAGGTTGACGGGGTGAACTGAACCAGTCCCTTATCCAATCTTATCAAGAGTTTTGGATGAGGTCAACCTGTTTCTATTTTATATTTTCTTTCTTCCCTTTTTGATTTTGAAACGACATCATTTTGAATTAAAGAAAAGTTTGTCATATTTGAATTGTGTATGTTTTGTGCATGAATGTTCTATTATTCATTTGTGGATTAATGGCTTTTTTATTTAATTGTTACTCTTTTCAAGTTTTATATGAATATTTTTTGTATATTTTAATTTAATTATGTTATTTTAATCATGAATGATTTGAATTATTAATTTTTGAACCACTCGACTGGTTACTAATAAAGAAAAATGTATTGGTATTTTTGAAGTTGCAAAATATTGTGGCTATTTTATTTTTTTCATAATTTAAAATATATTAATTATAAAAAAGGTATTTTTTTTTTAAGTTCTCACTTTTTAGGAGAGGTTGGTGGTGTTATACTCATAATTTTAAATAGGGTTAATGAGTAAAATAAATCCTGAAGTATTGCATGAAAAACATCTTGAACTTTGAACTCTTAAAATGTGCAAAATGAACTTTAAATTTTTAAATTCATAATAAATCAAAACCTACCGTTAACTTATTTTGTTAGCGCCATTATTCTTCATCGTGGGGTCTAGTCAAATTTTGATGTGGCAGTTTTTTGTTAATATGTCATTTGTTAATTAGTATCACAGACTTTAAACTATTACGTGAGTAGCATCCTGCATCCTGGACTTTGAAATTTCAAACAAATTACTCCCATCGTTTATATATAGGACATTGCCTATTATCTAGATTAAATTAGCTTCAGTGTGGTGTGCCGCTCATTGACTATGGTGAATGACCAATAATTTTATAAAATGACATTTTTTGTCCTTTTTTTTGCAAAGCTTTTCAAATGATTGGTATCTTATACTTTTGTATACTCTATAATTGAGTCTTATTTTGAATAATGTTTATTTACTTAATAGTGAAAGCTTAGGATTCCATTAAAAAAGAAGTTTAAATATTAGAGGATTTTAACTAACCGGTTAATTTGAATTTTAAATTTGTTGATGAAATCATCAGCTTTGTATCCATCATCTGTAAAATTCTATAATACTTAAATTTTTTTTCAAATGGATCTCAAGTTTTCACTATTAAATAAATAAATATTATTTAAAATAAGATTAAATTAAAGTTATAGAGTATACAAAGGCATGAAATATCAATTGTTTGAAAAATATTGCAAAAAAGGGGCCAAAACATTATTTCACAAAATTATGAGTCATTCTCCCTAGCCAATAATGCATTCACTGTAGCGGACCACATTGAGACTAATTTAGTCTACGTAATAGTTAACGTTCTATATAAAAATAATGGGAGTAATTTGCTTGAAGTTTCCAAGTTTGAGTCTAGGATAATATTTAGGTAATAATTTAAAGCCTGTTGTGCTAATTAACAAATGACACATCAGCATTTGACTAGATCTCATGGTGAATAATAATGATGTTAATAAAAAGTTTATGATAAGGTTCAATTTGTTATGACTTTAAAAATTTAAAATCTATTTTATACATTTTAAAAGTTTAAGATTTAGAGCGCTTTCTGTAGAATACTTCAGAGTTTATTTTATTCATTAACCCTTTTAAATATGCAACTTTATTTCTTCCCAATCCTTTTGTGAATCAAGAATCATGGAGCTAGTTGATTAAAGCTAGATCATGAATTATAGAATTACAAACTTAAGTTACATTGATAATGATTACTCTATTTATATTTTAACCAAAAAAGGAGGCAATGAGAAGTTAAATAACTCGCTGCCCTCTTCATGTGCCAATAATAATTTCATAATATATTTTTGTTACAAGAAAAGGTTTTTGCAGTGTTTTAAATGGATTGATTGATTATTGAAAAGACAGATTGTAATCAAAATAGGATGTTCTTCATCCGTTAAAAAAATAATCATCATCGTAAAGTTTTAGTTTTATTTTAAAATAATTGTCACTTTATAATTTTAAGTGTTTTTTTGTATCAAAAATAATTTTAAGTATTTCTATCCTATTTTACTCTTTATTAATGAAAATAATAGTAGGTGAAGCTCAAGTATTACAATATTTTAATATTAACTTAGATTAGATTTTGTTATAATCTAATGCTACATTAAAACAATTGAATTGATCATTAAACCGATTGAAATACTCATTCATGATTTAATAGTCGAACCATAGTTTAAACTGTAATTTAACCTATCATGAATAAATTAATATGTTGTAAATAATATATGCTTAAAATAAAAAGAAATAGTTATATATAATAATAATAATAATAAATTTTAAATTTCAATCAAAATAATATAAAATAAAAAATTATATTGAAGAAAAAATTAATATCCACAATTATTTATAATTTATAACTTTAAAATATGTGCAAATTACATACATATCCATGCATATTTGTTCATTTTTTTCATTTGAAAAGTTGTTTAGGTATAAACGTGTGTAATTTATTTTATAGTTTATAATATGAATTAAAATTTAAAAAAATTACCGGACAAGTTTAACCAGATCACCTACTAGTTCTGCCAGTTCAACTAGTTTTCTGGTTGGACAATTTTAGCTATAACTGAACCGTACCTAGGACAATGGTTCAACCAATGCTTCCCTCCCATGCTTGACTCCTTCAAAAGAGGCCTTTGGGAATATGCCCACAATAAACATGCACAAACATGAGCTTGAAAAGCAATCGGATCAAGGCATGTCCCTTTAAAAATCCCTTCATTCTGAGCAAGCCAGATACTTCGACAAGCCACCCCAAGTCACAGTTGCCATTTCACGCCGTCCACAACACCTATAATATTAATATTCCAATGCATCCATTTTCTAATCTCATTATCCTAGGAAAAATGATCTCTTACATCTCCTGGGATCACCTTTTTTTTTTTTTTTTTGAATAGTGAGGCAATTACAACTTGAAAGTAAACTAAGTAGAGTAGCCTAATAAAAAGGCACTATCTTATTCTTCATGAAGCTGATGTTGGCAGAATGGGGGAGCTGTCTCCAAAATCCGAGTGGCATTATCCCTTCCGTAAGCATTCTTTGCAAGCAGATCTGCACAACCAATGGCACTACGCTTGGTGTATTGAAGTGTAATATCCTTCTATTGGCACAATAAGGAGCGAATCACTCGAATGATGTCGATCAGGAGATGTTCCTGTCTATTTGCATACATGAGAAGATGAATACTTTCAAGCGAGTCTGTATAAATGCCAACATTAGTGAAACCATGTGCATTGCAAATTAGTAGACCTGTCTTGACAGCCATTAATTCCGCCTCTGTACTAATCCCAAGGCCAAGAAATTTTTGAAATCCTAATAACCATGAGCCTGTTGAGTCACGAAATAGTCCTCCACAAGCATTGAAACCGTGTTCATTCCTGGACCCATCTGCATTCAGACGAATTTGGTTTTCCACAGGGGCTTTCCATTTCAAATCCTTTATTTATAATCTGTTAGCTTCTTCACGGTCAGGTAACACATGAAGGTTATCTTCTTGCCCACTCCCAAAAAGATCACACAAACCCATACCATGCATTAGGCTTGTGTAAAAGTCTTTCGATTTTGTCTAACTCAATTTGACTTGAAATAGTCCAGTCTTTTTTCATCTATATAAACGTTGGTCCTTCAGCTCCAAAAAAAATTGAAAAGATCAAATTATTTTTTTGAGTTGGACTAGACAGGAGACTGGGCATTTGGACCAATTGGTCTAGCTCGATCCTATTAATTTATTTAATATAATTATAATTAATTTATTTTTAATAAATGCTTCAAGTGTAATTGATGCTAAGAAGATAATTGTATGAAGATTTGTTGAGTTTGTTTCTAAATTATTATTGTAATGCAGTGTTGTTGAAGTTTGTTGAGTGTTATTTTTGTTGAATATATAAATTTAAATTACCTGCACTGTAACTGAAATATTTTCCTTCTTGTTGGAAATTATTATTCATTTATTATGATTAAAGGTATTTTTATTATTTTAATTGAGTTTATTAGGTTGAAATAAATTATTGTCTCTCATAGAGAAAAAAGAAAAAAAAATAGCGAAGTGAATACTGGACTAACAGGACTAATCTTTCAATCTTATGAACCAAGTTTGATTCTGTTAAGCTTCAGGTTATCACTGGACAAGACTACACTACAAGTTGCCTAACCTAGTCCTTTTCATAAAAGAGACGAACTTCAGGTTAGGCCGAAGTCCAGTGTCGTTTAGTCCTTTATGTAGCCCTACCATATATCCCTCTCTTCATCCTGGATTTATTTGTAAATAGTCAACCTTAAGTCCCTGATTATAGAAATATTATGTAATAACTTAGAGTCGGTAATTTAAGTGAGTCGGGCTTATTTGAATCGAGCTCAATTTAGGCTGAATTTATTCGGATCGAGCTTCAAGTATCCCACTCTTTTTAAAAAGCCTATATAGTCAAGCTTGGCCCTAACACCTTTGGGCTTATTCAAGCCAAGCTAGATACCCAAAACTTTTTTAATTTTTTATTATTTTGAACCATTTTTAATTTTTAAATAATTTTGTTAAGCATAAAATATTATTTTAACTTTAAAAGAATAAAATAAAAAATAATAACTTATCAACTTTGTACTTAAGTAGCTCTGTCATTGTTTTATTGTATTATGTGTAATTTATTCATGAATGTTTCCTTTACTTGTAAATTAATGTTTTAGCTATTTAAATATTGCTTTTATCATAGTCATATAAAAATATTTTATATATTTTAATTAGATTATATTTTTTAATTATGATTAAGTTGATCTCAATTCAATCACTGTTAGACTACAAATTTAAAATTATTATCCTGATTAATTTAAATTTTTTAATAACTTTTGAATAAATTGTACTTTTCATTTTTAAGAATATAAAAAAAAGAGCCATCATTATATTATATAAAAAAAATATAAGTGAAATACTATTTTTCTTGGAAATTTTTTCTTTAACTTTTTATATTTTAGGTCTTACATACAAAGAGTTTTACTCTATTTTATTCTTAATTTTTAATCAAATCTGACGTAAACGATAAGCAAATAATTGTTCAAAAATATTTTATTTATTTAGTAGTAGAGCCGGGAATTCTTACATACCT